GTTCTAAGCATGTGAATATTCTAATTTTTAAAAAATTATCGTATCTCGTATGTTTCCGTATCTCATGTCCCGTGTCTGAGCAACTTAGCTCCTGGTATATGAGACTACTCCATACACCAAGCTAATCAACCAATGTTTTTTTATTATCAATAGAAATGAAGTGTTATTTTTTAATTTGTTTCTGTGTCATTGAAATAAAAAATTTAGTGTTTTTTTTTATTTTATGTTTGTGATTTATTATACATGATTGTTTATTTATTTGAAATATTAATGTATTACTTATTTAGTATACTGTGTCTTAAGCATATTGATGTCCTACCCTTTTAAAAAATTGTCCTATCTCATACGTTCTTGTATCTCATGTCTCATGTACGTGCAACCTAGCTCCTAGTATATGAGACTATTCAATACACCAAGCTAATCAACCAATTTTTTTTTTTATTACCAATAAAAAGTAAAGTTTTTTTTTTTGTGTATTGTATCATAAGCGTGTGGATGTCCTATTTTTTTTTAAATTGTTGTATTCGTACATTCCTGTATCTCGTGCCCTGTGCTCGTACAACCTAACTTCTGGGATATAAGACTACTCTATACATCAAACTAATCAACTAAGGTTTTTTATTACCAATAAAAATGAAGTGTTTTTTTTTTTTTTTTAATTTGCTTTTGTGAAATAAGAAATTAAGTATTTTTTATATTCATGATTTGTTATAAATGAGTGTATATTTATTTAAAATATTAATGTATTACTTATTTAGTATAGTATGTTCTAAGTATGTGGATGTCCTACTTTTTAAAAAGTATCATATACCGTGCCCTGTGTCTGTGTAACCTCGCTCCTGGTATATGAGACTACTCAATACACCAAGCTAATCAACCAAGTTTTTTTTATTAACAATAAAAAATGAAGTGTTTTTTTTAATTTATTTTTGTGTCATTGAAATAAGTGTCATTGAAATAAGAAATTATTTTTTTTTTATTTTATGTTTTTAATTTATTATAACTGATTATTTATTTATTTGAGATATTAATATATTACTTATTTAGTGTAATGTATCCTAAGCGTGTGAATGTCTTGGCTTTTTAAAATTATCGTATCCGTACATTCTTGTATATCGTATCCTGTGTTCGTGCAACGTAGCTCCTAGTTTATGAGACTACTCCATACACCAAGTTAATCAACCAAGTTTTTTTTATTACCAATAAAAATGAAGTGTTTTTTTGTAATTTATTTTTGCGTCATTAAAATAAGAAATTTAGTGTTTTTCTTATTTTATGTTTATAATTTATTATAAATGATTGTTTATTTGTTTTCAAAAAAAATGATTGTTTATTTATTTGAAATATTAATATATTACTTATTTAGTGTAATCTATCATAAGCGTGTAGATGTCCTATCTTTTTAAAAAGTTATTGTATCTCGTACGTTGCTGTATTTTGTGTCCTGTGTTCGTGCAATATAGCTCCTGGTATATGAGACTCCTCAATACACCAAGCTAATTAATCAAAGTTTTTTTTTTAATTAATGATAACAAATGAAGTTTTTTTTTTAATTTATTTTTGTCATTTAAATAAGAAATTAAGTTTTTTTATGTTCATAATTTATTATAAATGATTGTTTATTTATTTAAAATATTAATGTATTATTTATTTAGTTTAGTATGTTCTAAGCTCATGGATGTCCTATTTTTTAAATAATTATCATATTTCAAGTCTTCTATCTGTACAACCTAGCTCTTGAGATATAAGACTACTCAATACACTAGCTAATCAACCAAGATTTTTTTTTTATTACCAATAAAAAATCAAGTGTTTTTTATTTATTTATTTTTGTGTCATCATTGAAATAAGAAATTAATTTTTTTTATTTTATGTTTATAATTTATTGTAAATGATTATTTATTTATTTGAAATATTAAATATATTACCATGTGTTCTTCGTCATTAATATAGTTGCTCGCAGTAATTGTGGCCTCTCGGGAGAATCGATGACTGCATCTTTGATGCACTTGCTAGTACTAGTACATCTGAAATTTCTCGTAGTGTCTCCTAAGCTTATTGATGTTTTACTTTTTTTAAAAATTATCGTGTCCCATACGTTCCAATTTATATTTTTTAAGTTGTTCATTTAATAGTAATATATTGTTTATTCACACTTTTAAGCATTGTTTATTCACACTTTTAAGCGTATGGATTACTTATTAATTATTTTATAAGAAGAAATAAATTTATATTAATATATTAAATGCTAGAGATGATCTTTTTTATAAATATTATATTGATAAAGAGATTATCTGAAAATATAAAAATATTATATTGATAAAGAGATTATCTGAAAATATAAAACAACTAGTTTTCTCACAATTGTGCTAAACTGTGTTAGAATTCTAACATCCATCGTTCTATAATCTAAAATAATGCCAAGTGACAAATTGTGTTATTTGCACTTAGCTTTTATGTAATGCAAACTACCCTGCTTTTATATACATATACATTCGAAGGAAAAAGAACTGTTGGCTCTAAAATTAGGGATGGCAAAACGCCCCGAGCTCGCAAGGACCCTCCTGGAATACGGTAGTTTTCTTCAATAATTTAATGTCTGTTCCAAAAACCAATCCACCTCGAATATTATAAATCAGGAATGTGGTACAGGGTCAATATTTAAATGTTGTCCTGAATGTGTTAACATGTATATATATTACTCCTTTTATCCTATTTTGTTTACTTTTTTTTTTATTATCCCAAAATATTTATAAAATTTCTAAATTTATATATTTAAACAAGGTTTAATGGTCAAATAAATCTTAAACTTTGGACATTTTAACTATTTTAACCAATTCTTTTAATTTCGTTAATCGAATATTCAACTTAACTTTTATTAACAATTGTGACCTCCCATGGATCTGTTAGAGAACACTTACGTGTCCGTTAACGGGTCCCATCTCCTGACAATACAGCATTTGACTGGGAATTCCAATAGAGCACCAATCCTATCAAATAAAATACAAAACGTGCTGTTTGATTGTCCCTCACGTGAGTGCTTTTACACAATGAGATACGTATAAAGTTTCCTGAAATTCTATACGTATGAATATTTATAAAATTTCTAAATTTATATATTTAAACAAGGTTTAATGGTCAAATAAATCTTAAACTTTGGACATTTTAACTATTTTAACCAATTCTTTTAATTTCGTTAATCGAATATTCAACTTAACTTTTATTAACAATTGTGACCTCCCATGGATCTGTTAGAGAACACTTACGTGTCCGTTAACGGGTCCCATCTCCTGACAATACAGCATTTGACTGGGAATTCCAATAGAGCACCAATCCTATCAAATAAAATACAAAACGTGCTGTTTGATTGTCCCTCACGTGAGTGCTTTTACACAATGAGATACGTATAAAGTTTCCTGAAATTCTATCATCCATGTTATTTTTTTGTAAACTCATCGTTTCTTGCGAACTCAAGGACATACTTAACGAAGGAAGTGCATCTAAAACTTATTTTGTTTTGTATTTAACTTTTTTTTCAGCAAACTGTTTTTGACTTGTGAGTATGATTGTTTTTAATTTTTTTGTGTGATTGTTTCTTTTCATTGAATGGACTAAGAAGTTAATCAACGATGCAGTTTTAACATATTCTTAGTGTTATTTAAGGTATATTTGGCAATTTTAGCAGTTCTAATAGATGTTAGCTGTTGTAATAACTATCAGCCGTTAGCACTTAGATATTAGCTGTTAGTTGTTTATATAGCGGTTAAAATATGAGTATTCGGTAAAAATAAGTGTATGATTAGCTATTTAATATAAAAAGATAAAAAAAGGTAAAATAATAGAGAATAAGGCAAAGACAAGTGATAGACATAGATGTCATAAAAAATTTATAAATTGCTAAACTTTAATGAGGATAACGTTTCGTGAAATACTACCTCAAATTCTAAATACTTTTAACCCAATCAAAACATTAAATATTACTCCAAACGTTTTTGCCGAACAAACTCTTAGTCTTTGTTTGAATCACACGGTAGAGCGACCTAGCACATTATAAATTTATATTTAGCACCAAATTTCATATTCACGGTAGTAAAAAGCCACAAAGTGCTATAAAAACTTAAGGTTTTATTGTATAATTTTTGTTCTTTCTTTTTCAATTGCTATATTTTTTATTATATACATTCAAAAAATTTGTTATTAGCCATTATCTTTTAAAGATAAAATTAAGAATTTCATAAATATACAACTTCTATTAACAATTAATTTGTTCTATTTTTTCCTTGCTAAATATACACTTGGATCAAAGGAGGGATTTAACTCAGTTAAACTCTAACTTCACGATGCCAAAACACTCCTAATCCATTGTTGAATATTATCTCAATATAATAATTATTTATGTAATAAGATAATATTATAGTTACTAGGGTCCTTTAAATATTTTTCATTTTTTATTAATTAATTTATTATTATGACAATTATTTTGTTACTATTTTTGAAAAGTATAAAACAATATTAGACTTTAATTAATGAAAATATTATTCCATAAATTTTAATTTTCTTTATATTTATATTTTACTAAATAATTTCTATTATTTTCATGTATTTTATATAAAATTATTTTAATAATGTTATTAAATGTTTTTATGTATTGGTTTATAATTTGTTTAATCAAGTCATGATTATAAATCTACATTGATGTATCACTCCGTTACCAAACCTATAGTTAACACTATTAAACCCTATTAAAATTTATAATCTTAATACATACATGCAAAGCCATTAAATTCAAGAAGGTAATAAAGTTTAAAAAGAAAAAAAAAAAAAACTCAAAATGGACATGTTCGCGGGCCCAAACAGACCAGACCAAGCTTACATATACGAGCTTTTTCGGCTCGACCCGTTTTGGAATTGAATCCGTGCGAGTCGGGCCGGGGGGGACAGCCCGTTTTCACAATGCTAGATAAAAGCATCGTCATCCATCAAGCGCGGTTCTCATCTGATGTCTGTGGTGTTGGTACAATTGGTGGTGGCGTTAATGGTTCAATTTCTCAACCAATAAGCTCAAAGCGCCCAGGCTTCACGATCCACGTTCCCGCGCATATAAGTGCTATGCTGGCTCACTCAAATACACAGGTGTATGAGTCTCAGAAACTTTAGCCCCATGTCCCTTCGCGGGTCAACTTCTAAATCCTTTCCTCTTTACTTCCCGCGTAAATTTAAAATCCCACTCTCTCTGAAACCCACGAGAAATCCTCCAAAGGTAAAACCTACTTCATTGATTATAAATTTTATCGCCTTTGGACTATTCCTGCATAATTGAAATATTGTTTTGTTTTGTTTTCTTTCTACAGTGTTTCCGTAGGAATCTAAGTGGACCGAGACTGGCTTGTAATGCATTTGACGAAATTTTTTATCAGGAAAATGAAGGAAATATAAGAGGAATTGAATTCCTAATTTTGATGAATGAGCGGGGAATTAGTGCGAATTCTCAAACATATCTATGGCTTTTGGATTCCTGTTTGAATTCTGGCTCTTTGGTGAATTGCAAAAAGCTTCAGGGAAAGATTCTGAAGGAGGGTTTTGGTAGGGAAACTGTTTTGTGTGATAAGCTTGTTGATTGTTATAATGCAGCAGGGGATTTGGAAAGTGCAGTTAAGGTTTTTGATGATATGCCTATTAGAAGTGTGATCACTTGGAACAAGATATTATCTGGTTTGGTTGCAAAGAAAATGTTTAACCGAGTATTGGGGTTCTTTTTGCGAATGTTAGAGGAAAATGTAAATCCAATCGAAGTTACACTCTCTAGTGTTTTAAGGGCTTGTGGGGATGGTCGCTCTGTTGAGCAGATTCATGCTAGGATTATTTATCAGGGATTTGTAACTAGTCCTATTGCATGCAATCCTTTGATTGATTCATATGCCAAAAATGGGTTCATACATTCTGCTAGAAAGGTTTTTGATAAGTTATATGTGAAGGACAGTGTTTCTTGGGTGGCTATGATCTCTGGTTTTTCACAGAACGGATATGGAGAAGAAGCTGTTCGCCTATTTATTGAAATGCAAATTTCAGGAACATCCCCCACTCCCTATGTATTTTCAAGCGTTTTGAGTGCCTGCACTAAAATAGGGTTGTTTGATATTGGGGAGCAGCTTCATGCCTTAGTTTGCAAATGTGGATTCTTTTTGGAGACATATGTGTGCAATGCTCTTGTCACATTGTATTCCCGCTTAGGGAACTTCATATCTGCCGAACAAGTTTTCAGCAAAATACAATGTAAAGATGAAGTTTCATATAATTCACTAATCTCTGGACTAGCACAGCAGGGATACAGTGATAGGGCTTTGGAACTGTATAAGAAAATGCAGCATGATCACCTCAAACCAGATTGTGTTACAGTTGCAAGTCTCTTGAGTGCTTGTGCATCTGTTAGGGCATTTTCTAAGGGAGAACAATTACATTCATATGCAGTAAAATCAGGGATGTCTTTGGATATTATTATTGAAGGTTCTCTGCTTGACCTTTATGTTAAATGCTCTGATATAAAGACTGCCCACAAATTTTTCCTCACCACACAAACAGAAAATGTGGTTTTATGGAATGTGATGCTTGTGGCTTATGGGCAATTGGATAATTTAAGCGAGTCATTTCAGATATTTAGACAAATGCAGGTTGAAGGCTTGATTCCTAATCAATTTACGTACCCAAGTATTTTGAGAACTTGTACTTCATCCGGAGCTCTTGATTTAGGAGAGCAAATCCATTCCCAAGTCATCAAGGCTGGCTTTCAGTTTAATGTGTATGTCTGTAGTGTGCTTATAGATATGTACGCTAAGCATGGAAAACTGGGTAATGCCAGAGGAATTCTTAGAAGACTTACTGAGGAAGATGTCGTTTCATGGACAGCTATGATTGCAGGATACGCACATCATGATTTGTTTGCTGAAGCTCTTGAACTTTTTGAAGAAATGCTAAATCGAGGTTTGCGATCAGATAATATAGGTTTTTCGAGTGCAATCAGTGCGTGTGCTGGTATTCAAGCACTTAATCAAGGGCAACAAATTCATGCTCAATCCTATATCTCTGGTTATTCACAAGATCTTTCAATTAGCAATGCACTTGTTACATTTTATGCTAGATGTGGAAGAATTCGAGAAGCATACTTGGCATTTGAAAAAAATGATTTTAAAGATAATATATCATGGAATGGATTGATATCTGGATTTGCACAAAGTGGATACTGTGAGGAAGCATTGAAGGTCTTTGCTCAGATGAAAAGAGCAAATGTAGAAGCTAATTTATTCACATTTGGTTCTGCAGTTAGTGCTGCTGCCAATATGGCTAATATAAAACAAGGGAAGCAGATCCATGCAATTATTATAAAAACAGGGTTTGATACAGAAATTGAAGTTTCTAATGCTTTAATCACATTGTATGCAAAGTGTGGTTGCATTGATGATGCCGAAAGAGAGTTCTCTGAGATGCCTCAGAAAAATGAAATTTCCTGGAATGCTATGATCACGGGCTATTCTCAACATGGACATGGTATTGAAGCAGTAAATCTTTTTGAGAAAATGAAACAGATTGGAGTGATCCCAAACCATGTCACTTTTGTGGGGGTTCTATCAGCTTGTAGCCATGTGGGTTTGATAAATGAAGGCCTTTCCTACTTTGAGTCCATGAACACAGAGTATGGTTTAGTTCCTAAACAAGAACATTTTGCATGTGTAGTAGATCTTTTGAGTCGTGCTGGTCTTTTGGGCCATGCAAGAAAATTTATTGAGGAGATGCCAATTGAACCAGATGCAATGGCATGGAGGACCCTTTTAAGTTCTTGTACAGTTCATAAGAACACAGAAGTTGGAGAGTTTGCTGCGCATCATCTACTCAAATTGGAACCTGAAGATTCTGCAACTTATGTTCTTCTGTCAAATATGTATGCAGTGGCTGGTAAATGGGATTGTAGGGATCGGACCAGGCAAATGATGAAAGACAGGGGTGTGAAGAAACAGCCTGGTCGCAGCTGGATTGATGTTAGGAACTCAGTTCATGCATTCTTTGTAGGTGATAAGCTCCATCCTCTATCAGATAAAATATATGACTTCTTAGACGAGTTGAATAAACAAGCAGCTGAAATTGGTTATGTGCAAGATCGATATAGCCTTTTGAATGACGTAGAGCAGGGGCAGAAGGATCCAACTGCATTTGTTCACAGTGAGAAGCTGGCCACTGCATTTGGACTCCTTAGTTTGTCAGATCCAATTCCCATACGTGTCATGAAGAATCTACGTGTCTGTACTGATTGCCACACATGGCTTAAGTTTGTGTCAAAGATTTCAAATCGGACAATTGTGGTACGAGATGCATACCGATTTCACCATTTTGAAGGTGGTGCTTGTTCATGTAGAGATTATTGGTAAGCGGAATTGCACGATGGTTATTGGAAAACAGGATTTCAAAGGATCTGAAAGAAAACTATGATCTCAGAAGAATATGCAACAACTGGTAAAATCATTTTGTGACTTATGACCTGGCAGGCTGATAACTTTGTACTTAATTTTTTAATTGTAAAATTTCTTAGCTCTTTATGAAGTCTGATTTGGAAGCTTTTCAAGCCAAGGCAATTTTCTCCTTGACATTTTCTTATGTTGTTTATTGTCCACAGGCAGGCCCCTCTAAGCTGTTTGCCCTTTCAAACATTATTACAACGATAATGTTTGTTCCTGTAGAGATTACAGGTAATATTTCATCTGTAATGTGCTTAGGTTACCTCAATTGGTTTCTGAAACATAGTTCATGCTTTCAAATTCATAGTAAATTTCTGATTTTGATAATTTATTTTTGCCCCTATAGGAATTAAGTGGGCTGTCTTTATTTAGACCAGTATTTACTGTCTTATTCATTTGGCTGCAAATTTTATAAATTTTTACTTGTACAAGGTGCAGTACCTGATTCATCTCCATTTTAAATTCTCTCAGTCTTGGAATTGGTGTTTGTGAGATTTAATATTACCTTAAAGAACTCAATGAACTTGCTGATTGTGATCTTGGTGGGAGTTCACATCTCTAATCTCTAGGTGCTTAACAATGTAAGCTCATACAAATCCTTCTTTCCTTTAGGTTCTCGCTCTTTTCTTATATCTGTCATCTTGCCAAGGTGCTGCAGAAAACTGCAAAATCCTAGTCCTTGGTCTGGAAGAATAAGTACTGTTCAAAAACCTTTTCTGGATTAGTTCTTCTATCTGCAATGATGTCCACATTTCCAGTTTTTCTCACTTGAGAAAGAACCAGTCCACTCCTTTCTGTAAGATTTGAGTTGGGAATATTATTGTGTATATGAGCCAATTATCGTGTAGTACTTTATAACTGATCTCGTTCTAGTCTTGATTTCCCAAGTTGTCAGTTTCATGTGTAGGCTGTATTTCCTTGTATAATTTGAAAATTATTTATTCCCATATTGCTTGGATAATGCATGCTTGAGATGGCTTCTTACTTTCCTCTCTTAATGATAAAATGTGTCATTTAGTCTTGAAGATTTTCTTTTTTCTATTTTGAGACTTTTCTGCAGGAACAATGAAATGCTAAGGTGTAGTTGTTACTTGTTAGCCTGTGACTGAGGAATCTGGTGATACATGATAGATGATTTAATTATAATTTTTCTTGTTTTGTGTAAGCATTGACGTAATTTATCCAATAAATAGGAGTTCAGTCTAGCATGGCTGCTGACTGGTATTAACTTATTTTGGCGCATTGACCAAGTTGCCCCTCTTATCTATGTACTATAGTAGGCATTGAAAAGGATAGTATTGGTATTCTTGACACTCCAATTGTGGAATGACATTCCTAGGAGAAGACTTCTGTTCTTGAAGTTTCTTCTTTTTCCAAATCCCATAATCCAAATAAAAAGATTCTCTTGCAATCTTCAGCTATAAATAGTTAAGACATGAAATTGCTTCTCTAAGACAAAATCTCTCTCTTTTCTCCTAACTCATCCAGTCTTTGTCATGGCAGGTGAAATTAGCAAGGAGGCAGCAGCAGCATCCTCTTCCTTACCACTTGATGGTAGGGTAGCCATAGTAACTGGGGCTTCACGTGGCATTGGCCATGCAATTTCCATGAACCTTCACTCCCTTGGTGCAAGAGTTGTGCTCAATCATGCCTCAAGCTCCAACCAAGCCGATCTCCTTGCACCTGAGCTCAATGCCTCACCTTCATCTTCTCATCCCTAGACAATTGCTATCAGAGCTGATGTTTCCAGCCAGACCAAGTCAAACAACTCTTCGAAACTGTTGAGAAAAAATTCAACTCAATGGTGCTTCCAAGGCAGCAGCAGAGACAATGACAATAATACTGGCCAAGAATAGAATATAAACAAATATTGATTTGTTAGTAAAAGAGGGAGTGTCTACTCATAGAATTGAAAAAAATGTTGTCTATGCATCTGCATTGTGGGATGGCCGATGTAGTGAATGCTGTTAAAGTCTAGGCTTTCAACCAACGCTCGTGTGCCTGTACATGCTGTTGCAGTGAAGTTATCAACCAGTGACATTACCCAGAATGAATAAAATTGAGCTCTGGAATTGGAAGTGCGGGGGATGAAGTGAAGAAGAGAAAGTCCTTTTGTGAACACTATTGAGTTGACAAGTCCTATTGAATGAAGATGTTGCTTTGCAAACAGGAAACGATTTGAAGAAATGGCCCAGGAAGGTACATACTGTGGCTTGTATACTTTCTAGGTATTCGTATTCTATGGAGGCTACAACCATGACTTTGTCTCAGTCTAGAAACCATAAAATGGCTGATCTTGTTTGTCAGGACAGTCGAGCATTATGAAGCTGTTAAGTTGGAACTGCCGGAGAATTGGCAACCCTAGAACAGTTCGAGCCCTCAAGGATTTATCCTTGAGTTATAGCGCACAAGTGGTATTTTTAATGGAAACAAAGGTTTGAAGTAGAATAGAGGAGATAAAGGCATTGTTTGGTTTTGATGGGTGTTTTCTGTACATAGGTTGGGTAGAGTTGGTGGTCTTGCAGTCTTTTGGAAGAATTCTTTGAGTCTTCAGATTATTGGCTTTTCCTGAAATTTTATTCACCGCCATTTAACGAGAGAAGTAAAGGATTTACAGCTTCCTAGTTTTTATGGTTCCCTAAATGCCATAGAAGGGGACAGTCGTGAAATCTTTTGCATGCACTAGTAGCCCGTGATTCGAGACCATGGTTGGTCATGGGTGATTTTAATGATTTGCTTTCTTCTGATGAAAAAATTGGTGGCATCACTCAACCTTTTTTGTTGTGGAATGGCTTTAGAGAGGCTATCCAGGATTGTCATTTGACTGATGTTCCTTTTGCTGGTCATGGTTCTACTTGGAAGCATTGTAGGGGAAGACCAGATTGGGTAAGTGAAAAGGTAGGTAGGGTTTTTGCAACATCTGATTGAGTTGGTCTATTCCCTGCGACTCAGGTAAGTAATTTGATTTCTCTTTCATCTGATCATAGCTTGATTCTTTCAGAGCTTCAAAATAATTCTTTCCAGTAAGAAGGAAAGGGTTTTGCTTTGATAACAATTGGCTAGTTGAGCCTGATGTGGCTGAGGTAGTCTCCAAAGGCTGGTTATCTGGCATTAACGATTTGATGACTAGGAAATCGAGCCAAGTCTAAGAACTGGAATTGGGAAGGAACAAAATCGTATTTTTTGGCATAACAGGAATTATCTGGCTCATCTTTTAGATGAAGGCAGGTATAATTTCGGTATTGTTGAATACAATCGGTCACAGGCTAAGTGGAATTTTTTGTTGGCTTAGGAGTTGCGTGTTAAACAAATTGCTAAAATTCTCTGGCTTCAATATGGGGACAAAACACACAATATCATCGCCAGCAAATTAAAGGGAGAAGGAGAATTAATTTTATTTCTTCTCTTAGAAATTCGAAAGGGGAAATGGTTTCAGAATTCGGAGTTTTGCAACATCTGGTTTATGATTATTTTTCCAATGTTTTTTATGGTGGTGATTCTGATAGAAGGAGTCTTCTTGGACTTGTCCATCCTAGAGTCTCTGAAGAAGATAACCTGTTTTTTATTACACCTTTCAGTCATCAGGAATTCAAAGATGCAGGTTTTCAAATGCATCTAGAAAAATCTCTAGGTCCAAATGGCCTAAACCCAACTTCCTATCAGAAGTTCTAGCATATCACTGGAGCAGATGTGGTGGGCGGGTTATTAGAATTGGTGGCAGAGAGGTATTTTTCCGAAGTTTTATCTGATACTTCAACAGTTTTGGTCCCAAAAACTAATTGTCCTGAGTCTCTTAAGGATTTCCACCCTATATCTTTGTGTAATGAGCTACACAAAATAATATCAAAAGTGGTTGAGGCTTTAGCATTGAGGGCCTGTTTGTGCTGTTTAAAAGATCTTGGTTTTTTTTTGGGGGTCCTGGATATGTTTTGGTAGACTCCTTAATCGTTCAGTCTTTATGTTCTAGTTCTGTTACTTTTGTGAATTTGGTCTTGTCATTAAGGATTGGAAAACTATATTGACTGTTAGGTGGATTCGAAGGCAAGCAATGTGAATGCTCACTCTTTAGCTAAGACCATCGTACAGTCATGCTACCTTTAAAGTTTGGAACTCATGTTTTATTCAATTTCTATCAATGAATTTTGGATGTTTCCTTTCAAAAAAAAAAATAAAAAAAAAAAAAGGTTTGACAAGTCTTGTATTTTCTCCTTCCCATCGGTATCAATCAAGTCTGTATCATTCATTGATTCATTTGTATTAGTACAAATTATTTAGATAGCCTGCAGTTATAATAGTATGAGTTGTTTATACTGTATATATAAAAGTGGAAATAAAGGGGAATAATAGAATTTTCTATATCATCCTTAATGAAATTTAAAATGTTCTAAAGCACCTTTAATGATGAATAATTAAAAAATTACAATTTATTAATTGATTGGATATAATTTATAAAAATTATTTTTTCAGCTAATCATATGCGTTCTGATTATCTTTTCACTTATATGAAGAATGAGAGGTCTCGAATTTGAATCCGCTCAACCACAAGTGTTTTCACCGATTTGATTTGTATAGCCTACAGTGTTATTTTGTTTCTTCAGGCCTCCTACTAAATAAAAAAAATTATTTTTTAAATAAATATATATAAATAATTAAGCATTTTGGTCTTGTCATTAAGGATTGGAAAACTATATTGACTTGTAGGTGATTCGAAGGCAAGCAATGTGGAATGCTCACTCTTTAGCTAGACCATCGTACAGTCAGCTACCTTTAAGTTTGGAACTCATGGTTTATATTTCTATCAATAATTTTGGAATGTTTTATTTAAAAAATAAAAAAAAAAAAGGTTTGACAAGTCTTGTATTTTCTCTTCCCATCGGTATCCAATGCAAGCTCTGTATCATTCATTAGTTACATCTTGTATTAGTACAAATATTTAGTATTAGAGCCTGCAGTAGAGTTTAGTATTGAGTCTGTTATACTTGTTATATATAAAAGTGGAAATAAAGGGAATAATAGAATTTTCTATATTCATCCCTTAATGAAATTTAAAAAAATGTTAATAAAGCACCTTTAATGATGAAATATTAAAAATTACAAATTATTAAATTGAATTGGTATATAATTATTAAAATTATTTTTTCAGCTAATCATATGTTCTGATTATCTTTTCACTTATATGAAGAATGAGAGGGTCTCATATGATCCGCTCACCACAAGTTTGTTTTCAACCGATTTTGATTTGTTAGCCTCAGTGTTATTTTGTTCTCAGGCCTCTACTAAATAAAAAAATTAAATTTTTAAAATAAATATATATAAATATTTAAAATTTTAAGTTTTATCTTTATTAATTTATTTTTTAATGAATATATATGAGAATGAGATATTTGAAATTTTTTTATATTTTATTTATTAAATATTTAATTTTTTAGGAAATATATAAAAAAAGAAAGAAAATTTTTTTCCTTTATGTTTTTATGATATGATTGGATATTTTTTTAAAAGAATAAATTTTCAAGTAGAATATATATAATATTTTATTTAGGCGAGATAAAAAAGAAAACAAAGTATATTATTTTATTAATATTTTTGTTTTTTATGTTTGAAAGACTTAATTGGATATATTTTTTAAAAAGTAAATTTTTATATATTTACATAATTAAACCTAGATGATAAACAGTTGAAAATTTTAATTTAAAAAATAATATTTTATTGATATATTGATATATCTATATACTTTGAAACATTTTTTTTTTTGTTAGGTGATTTACCAATTTGATTGTTGTGTAGTCTGTAGTGTTATTTCGCCTATCAGACCTCCTAATGAATCGAAAAAAATAAATTTTTAAATAAATACATATATATAATTAAGCATTTTAAAATTTTATACATATATAATAATGTAAGCCATTCTAAAAATTTTAATTTTTATATTTACTAAATTTTAATTTTTAATGATATATATATAACGAGACACTTGAAAGTTTTATATTTGAATATTATAAAATATTTAATCTCTTTCCTTTTAAAGATATTGATAAGAAAAAAAAGAAAATAGTACTTTTTTTTTTCTCACATTAATATTTTTTTTCATTATGTTTTGGATATGGTAATGATGGATATATTTTTATAATCTTCACACACGAATATAATTATATATATATATTTTCATAAGATACAGGAAAATACAGAATAAAAATATATATTTATATTAAATCATATTTAGTGTTCTTTATATATGGGTGAGTCATATTTGTAAATGTGATTTGTATATATTTCTAAAAAAAGGTAAATTTTCAAAAATAGAATTTACATAATTAAACATGGGATATAATAAACATTGAAAATTTTAATTTTAAAAAATAATATATAAATATCTAATTAATAATACCATATATATCTATATATATAGAAATACTTTTTGTTACGTGAGTTTTGATGAAGTTTTTAATTCTTAATAATATGTTTTTTTTTTTGTTACTAAAATAATTTTGTAACTACTATCATTTTATTAGTAAAAGAGATTTTATTCTCTACTCGCGAATAAAATAGATGACATATTGATGGTTAAGCATTTTTAATTTCCTCGATATTTTTCTCTTATATCTAAGCTGTTTTGACTTAAAAAGAAAATAGTGTTTAGGAAACTGAAAAAAAAAAGAACAATAGAACTATATATTTTCCCTATTATTCGTCCTTTTTTAGGTTTTAAAGAATCTTGTATGTTAGTAGCATATATTCCTTTGTCTGATACACACTCGTAAATTTAATACTGTCAGCGGTGTTGATCAAAGTGTATTTCATTATCATTCAGATCATTTCTTCTCATTTCTGTTATCTTAGACCTAGCAATAAATAGATAGCTTAATTTTTATTGTTTTTTCTTATAGTTTGTGGTATGAGATAATTGAATTTGGGATTGAGGCAGGGCATTTTGGAAAGATTGAGTGACGAATTCCTAATTTTCGGTTATTATGAGCGACATATTAAGGGTTTTAAAAATCTACATTTATACAGTTTGGTATGGAACATAAGATTAGGGTATTAAAGATTGGGTTGAACTTTATTCTCAAGAGATCACTTATATATAAAGAAATAAGAATTAAGTAATAAAATTTAATTTAAAAAAATATATAATATTCTATTAATATATTTATATATCTATATATATAGAAATACTTTTTGTTACGTGAGTTTTGAATGAGTTTTATTCTTAATAATATGTTTTTTTTTTGTTACTAAATAATTTGTAACTACTATCATTTTAATTTAGTAAGAGATTTATTTCTCTCTCGCAATAAATAGATGACTTATTGATGGTTAAGCATTTTTAATTTTCTCGATATTTTTCTCTTATATCCTAAATCTGTTTGACTTAAAAGAAAATAGTGTTTAGGAAACTGAAAAAAAAAAAAGAACAATAGAACTATATATTTCTATTTTCGTCACTTTTTAGGTTTTAAGAATTTGTATGTATGTGCATATATTCCTTTGTCTGATACACTCGGTAAATAATACTGTCACTGTGATCAAAGTGATTTTCATTATCAATTCAGATCATCTTCTCATTTCTTTTCTTAGACCTAGCAATAAAAATAAATTTTTATTGTTTTTCATTATAGTTGTGTATAGATATTGATTTGGGATTGAGAGCAGGGGAATTGGAGATTGAGTGATGAACTAATTTTCTTTTTGAGCACCTATTAGGGTTTTAAAAATCTACATTTATAAATTATGGACTAAGGATTAGGTTTAAGGATTGGGTTGAACTTTATTCTCAGATCACTTCATATATAAAAATAGAATTAAGTAAATATTGTAAGTAATTTCTAAGACAAAATATAATACAAATTAACCTCTTGTATTTATTTTAATCTAAACAAAACTTTATATATATATATATAATAAGTATATAACGAATATAGTTAATGTGAAACGGGCGTCATAAAAAAATAAAAAAACTAGTATATGTAAAAGTACGAACAGGGAATATTACGAATGTCAAAATTGCCTTAATTAATTTATGCATGTTAACCTTATTTTTATATTTTTTTTAATCTTCCTCATCGAATTAAAGTTATAGAAAGATAGGCTAATTTTATTTAGTTTTCATATATGTATGTACGAGTAAAGAATACTAATGATGTTTGCAAAAAATATAACAATATTTTTTATAAAATTTATTTCATTAGTGAGAAACAAAAAGAAATATATTATATTAATATTATAAATTTAATTTCATTCTAATTAAGAGTTTAGTCCCATTTTAATTATATTTAGAAAAAAAAAGACAAGTACAGTGAATTTTAACGTGCAAAGCATGTTCTTAATACTAGCAATTATAAATGTCGAACTGCATATAAATTCTTTATTGTACTTTATGTAAAAGACTTTGACGTATGTTAAATTTTTATTTTGACTCGTTATAAATGTCTGGGAAGAGATAGTTGAATATATAAAAATATTAAGTAATTTATTATTATGATACTACAGGACAAATAGTGTAAAGAAAACAAAAAATATTTTCTTTGTTTTATAAAAAAAAATTTGAATATATTTAAACTCAATTAAAAATATTTAAACTCAATTAGAAATATTAATATCATGAAAATAATAAATATTTTTATAAAATAAATAAGCATAATAAATTTTGATAATTATGTGATGATTTAGTTGATTTTTTCATTCATATGAGAAATGGGAGATTTCAAATTTAACTCCTTTCGGCCATAGTTATATTAGAGTTATTTTTATCAATTTGACGAGCCAATTAGAAGATCCGCATTTGTTATTTTGACCATAAGAGTCTCGATTAATAAAGTTTACACAATTATATATATCTTTATTAATTTATTATTATGATAGTCAAAGACTAGTATCTAAAGTCAATTAGGAATTCTAATACTTTTCGTAAAATAAATAAAAAATAAGTGAAAACTTAAGGGGTTATTTGTTACCATTTTTCGTTTTTTATTTTTAAAAATAAAAAACTATTTTTGATTTTTGATGTTTAATTTTTGAAAATTGTTCTTTTTTTTTCTACGAGTTTCTTTTTCTGTATAAACATTTTTTAAACACAAAATCAACTCATAGATATGTAAGAGAATGCCATAATAAAATATTAAAAGATATCATCTTTTATTTAAATACAAAAAACTTGTCCAAAAGGAAATTTCTATTCCAGAGACTTGCAAGAGAGACATGTAAGAAAAAGACTTGTAGGAGAGAAGAGTGAAATGTATCAATAAAAAAATAAAATAAAATCGCGGAAATCACAATTTATAGCTTCACAAAATACATTCTGTTTTTTAAACAATTTAAAAGAAATTAAAAAGTAATTTAAACAATTTTACAACAAACACATTTCATTTTTCTATTACTTTTATTAGGTTAAATTGGGTGATTGTGAGACCTTCTACCTAATTGTATAATTAAAAAATTGGAGCTATTTGTTGTTACTAGCATAGACAATTTACAATATTATATTATAAATAAAAATATTAATAAAAAAAATTAAATTACAAGCACATAAGATAACAAACATGTGCAATGCAAGTTCTAAAAATCTTCTAACATTTAAATAATGCATCTTTTTATTATTATTTTACTAAAACCAGAAGAGGGCTTAACCTAGCCTGCTCGTGCTGCAGCAAGTTTTATATATAATAATATACAAAACATCGTTTTATTATCTTAACAATTGTATTAAACTCTTCATCAAACCTCCATATAGGGGGAAAATTAAAATAAAGGACTAACATTGCCAGGCTCAAATTCTGCATTCTGAATTTGTTCTGTTGCGCATTACTCAAATTATACTTTCTGCATTTGATTTTCGATTTGATCTGTTCCAATCACATGCCAAGACCTAAATCATCTAAGCCATCAAACTGCAATAACAAGCCACCCAGGAATCATCTAGTCCATTGCAACAAGCTCAACCCATCACCTTGCAATATACCAACCATTATGCTGTCAAAAGAAATCGCCAAGGGCAACATATAGGTGAGAGAACTTCAGCGGAATGATTATTCCGTTGTGATCGTCAAAGTATTACCTTAAAATTATAACGGTAGACAAAAATTCACCTCAATGCTTTACATCCTTTTTTGTTATGCCCCAAATTTTTGAAAATCAAGTTAAATACAAATCCTCAAATACATTTCAGCAACTATTAGAGATTCACTCATCTAATGTGGTTATCCAAAACAGGTGAACCAAAAACACTTTAACAGAGAAAACACAGGGAAGCAGCATCTAAAATGGCCTGCAGCTGAATTAGATAAAAGATGGAACGTTTTTTCCTCAACCGCCAGGAGATGTCCAATCATTTGTCAACATACCGAGTTGCAAAATTACTCAGAATGATGCCCTAGATTTCTGCATGACTAAAAACAGCAAATAGAATGAAAATCCTGGTAAAAAGTTTAGGGTAAGCAACACAAAAACATAGATCCGGCGTAGCACCTTTGAGAGAGACCGGCAAGAAATAAAACCATGTAAACCCGCCAGCAATTACATCAATCATCCAGGTAATAATATGACCCAGCAGTCTTCTGCTCTCTGTCCTTTGTTGAGTCCTTTTTGTTGATTCTTGGTCGGTAATTAGTTGGGTCCCGCCTAAATGTAATATCCAGGTGCTGTAACCGGTAAAATAATGAAACTGTGAGTGAAGAGGTAGCATAATAACCATAAAATATCAATTGCAACAAATAATTGCTTATGCACATTTAGCTATTCGGGTGACCTTAATTAAAGTTCACCGTAAGCAAAGGCATTATGGTCTGTTTACCATTTTTCTCAAAAAAATCCCATGTTAGATGCTAGAAAAAGCAATTTTAGTGCAATCTAGCTGTTTTAAAGTTTTCCCAAGTAGAATATAAAATTCACCTTAAACATAAACTTTAAAAGCCTCTCACCCAATTTTTTAACAGTGCTTTTCTCAACATTAATTCAAATGGCAATTCTAAACAATTAATCTCAAATAGTTCAAAAATAAGGAAAGCACATCCAAGCAATGTGAAATTTTCAAGACCATCAGATAAAAATGATTATATAACCATATAATGAAAATAGCAGAAATTATGCATCTTTCCCAACTTACTTCATTCTTTTTACTTTTGAAGGCATGCACAGTATGTACTTACAGATAAGAAGAGATTCATTCCAGTCAACAATGACTGCGGAGAATTAGCTGTACAGTCCACAGATGGCTGCCCCTCATACACAACAACCCTATCAGCAAGATAGGTTGCCATTATAAAATCATGCTCTACAACGAACGCAGTTTTCTTTGCATGAAGGATAAACCTCTTTATGACTTTTGAAGCAACAATACGCTGTTCAGAATCCAGATAAGCACTGGGCTCATCTATTAGATAAATGTCCGCAGGCTGTATCAAGTAAAGCATGAATCAGAATCCATTAAATAAAACAAAGCTTCAATCTCAGATATTAACATGAAAAATAGGTAAGGTGACACTGCATTGGATTGGCTATGCTCACAAATAAAGAAAATTCTGGTCACATGTTCATATCATTCATTTCTCAATAAACCCACAGACGGTACTGCAGGGAACTGCTGCCACTGATACAATGTTACCTATGTCACCCTTGGGACTAATTTCAATTCATAAGCAAATATTTTAAACAACATTATTTTACATTCAAACCTTAGACATCGGAGATCCACCACAGAAACCTACAACTACAACTGATCACAAACTACAGAAAAACAGAGACGAAGAATCTGTGCCAGAAGTTTCAGGTATTGTTTGCAACCTGCGGACTTTACAGCAAATCCAAATATGCATTCATGCTCACATGGGTGATGTTCAAGGAGGCATCCATGATACAATCCTGACAGAACCCTCAAAAACTTTGTCCGTCAGGCTTGTGTAACATAAATAAACCACAATCCTGAATTGATGAATATTATGCAACATAAATAAATTAATGCATATCAATAGACAAACAAGATGTGTTCAAAATAATTTTTATGTGTCATTGACATTGCATATCAGATGTGTGCCAAAAAAGTGCCATGTCTAACACACTCCAAAACATAACGCAAGCCCCAAGAGCAAGGTGTCAATGCTTCAAATGTCAGTACCAAGTTGGTTTATCCATTGTTGAGGGAGGAATAGCAAAGAAAAACAAAGGGAGTGAAGAAAAAGTGAAGAAAATGCTCCAACACATTTATTTTATCATTCCTTTTGCATCACCCTGGCATCCCATCCAAAAATCATGTCCATCTTAACAAGCACCCCAAGTAACCTATATATTCCTCAACCTTACATAACCTAAAACCATCCTGCAAATAATTCTACACTCTTTCCCCAGCGATTATATTCATGAATGTACTCACATATGAGATCAATAAATTTTCAACAAACAGACAAGCCCGAGATACAGATTAACAAAAAAAAAAAAAAAAAAAAAAAAAAAAAAAAAAAAAAAAAAAAAAATGCAAAATAATTCTACACTCTTTCCCCAGCATCTATATTCATGAATTACTCACATATGAGATCAATAAATTATCAACAAAAGACAAGCCCGAGATACAGAAGTTAACAACAAAAAAAAAAAAAAAAAAAAAAAAAAAAAAAAAAAAAAAAAAAAAAAAAAAAAAAAAAAGAAAAGAAAAAAAAGAGTAGCATTAACAAAATTAGTTAGAAGCAATGACCTTTCCAAGGCAGAGACACAAAGCAACTCTTTGCAACTCCCCACCAGATAGATTCACTACTTCTTGATCCATCAGTTGCTCTATAAGAAGCGGTTTCATGACATCTGACACAAACTGAGGATGTGTATATGAATCACGAATTTTTTGATGTAGCAAGTGTCTAACAGTAGATTGGAACTTAGGACTGATCTTTTGGGGCTTGTAAGAGACATTGAACTCAGGTATCTCCGCATCAGAACCTTCTATAATATCAGGTTTCAATAAACCAGCCTGCATGTTTGGCCAATAAAATTAAATTGTTCAAGAGGTGCTAGATTTCATGGCAGAAAGAATAAAAGAAAGTAAATCATGTCTTAGAAGAAGTACCAGCATACGTATGAATGTCGTCTTCCCTGTCCCATTCTCACCCAACATAACAATTATCTGAGAATCTGTAAATTCACCTTCAATCACGCGAAGCTTAAAGTTTCCCTGAATTTTAGTCATGGTTGGATATTTGTATCTTGCATATGTTTCAATCTCCTCAGCGCTCTCTTGTGGAGTCTCAGCAACCTAGATAAGCCAAAGAATATAATGTCAAGAAGAGAGACAGGGAGAGGGAAACAGAGTCTTTGCATAATTCAGAAACAAATAAAGGAAGCACAATTACCTTAAAGGTTAAAGACACATCCCGGAATCGGAGGTTTTCTGTAGGAACAAATCCAGCCAAAAATATATTTATTCCTTCCCTAACAGAGAAGGGAAGGGTCACAACTCCATATGCACCTGGTTTGCCGTACAAGCAACAAATGAAGTCCGACAAATAATCCAGGACACTAAGGTCATGCTCCACCACAATCACATAGCTGAAACAAAACTGGAATTAATGCACTTAATTCAGAGTAATAAAAAAATAGAGTTTGAAGAACAACAGAAAAAGTTAAACCTATTAGGCCTGAGCAAAGATCTGATAACTTCAGCTGCTTTAAGCCTCTGTTTTACATCAAGGTAACTTGAAGGTTCATCAAACATGTATATCTCTGCATTCTGTATGGCAACAACCGCAATAGCAAATCGCTGAAGCTCTCCGCCTGACAAATCCCCCACATTACGATCTATAACTTGGTTCAGCTCAAGATCGCGACAAAGATCTGCTTTCATCTCTCTCTCATCTTTTTGGTCGAGAACCTGCCCCACATTGCCTTGGACTGCCTTTGGAATGTGATCAACATACTGAGGCTTTATGATTGCCTGATGAATAAGAACATATCTTTAGCAAAAAGACAAATAGATGAATCTAAAAATGCAATGCATAGTTCACACGATTATGTTCGTCACATTTTTTAAAAACTCTAATTTGCTAAGCAGGAGCATAAAATGGGTGTGAATTAAAAACTTTAAACTAGTAACCTAAAACAAAGTGTATTATGATAATTACAGAGAATAAAAGGAAAAACCTGCCGCGGGGGGGGGGGGGTTGCCGCGGGCGGGGGCGGGGCGGGTGTTGTGTGGGGTGTGTTGGTGTGACGGAACCACACACACGGGGGGGGGGGGGTGTTGTGTGGGTTGTGTTGGGTTGTTGACGGAACACACACACACAAAAAAGGATTTAGGATCTCCAATAAAAAGTGGAACATAAAATAGTATATATCCAAAAAGATGTATCACATAAATTCAGGAACTGTAGACAAACATAGTAGGTAAAAATTCGATGTGACTACCAAGATTATTTTGCATTGATGCTATCTTGAGACGACGAGTAATGATTGAAAGGATTCTGTAAAGTGAGTGACAAGTGAAGACAACAAAGCATATTAACATGATGATGGTCGGCCACAATGCCAGAAGCGTGATGGTGCCAATGAGGCATGCAATCGAAACAATATAAAATCCTTAACCTAAGAGAAATAGAATTACAATAAAAAGGAAAAAAGTAATCGTGATTACAGAGTGGAAAAAAGGGTCCATTCATCGATCTGAGAACTTTTTCATCTATGCAATCACAGGTAACACATAAATCATATTTTAAGTCAAAGTTCTACCGCAGCAGTAACAATCAAAATCCCCACACTTAAATCTTGAAAGTATTGTACATAATTAATTGCAGTTTAATATAACTACTCAAAAAAATAAAGCCAAAGCCAATATAGTTGAATGGGTGAGAAAAATGTATAGAACTGACAAAATGACAATAGATTAACATTAATGCTTTCATAAGATGGCATAACATCTATTAGTAATACAAGTTTAAGTAACCTTGACAATGTCCGAATGGGAAATTACCTTCAAATTATCTTCCAGTATACGGGTAAAATAGTTCTGCAATTCAGATCCTCTAAAGTAGGTCAAAATTTCCTGCCAATCTGGAGGATTCTGCAATTGTATAGATGAAAGATCCGAGGCTTAAAGGAAAAACACAAATGTACCATGTACCAATAATGAGAATCATTCTTAAGCATATTACATTGAAACGACCCAAATTTGGTTTTAGTTTGCCAGCCAAAACTTTCAGCGCAGTAGACTTCCCAATGCCATTTGTTCCAACTAAGCCAAGAACTTGCCCAGGTCTAGGGACAGGTAACCTGTGATTGTAAATCTATGCAGCGTCAAAAGGCATAAAATACGATCCCACCCTTTTTCTTGGTAGGTATACAATCATTCAATGTCCCAAGTCGGTGGAAGCCAAGAACAAATTTGTAAGAGAAAAGCAATGAAAGTATTCAAAAACAATATCCTCTGCATCAAAATGCAAGGGTCGTAGCTCCTAATCCAACAATCTGTGAAAACAGATGTGGGTTTTTTGCCCTACTATTATTCCTCAGAACTAGCAGCAAAACAATAAAGAGTCAACAGAATTGTTATCCTATTCTATTTTCCAAATAGATACATAGTTAGCCTCTCCAGATGCACATCTTTCAAAAAATTAAGCAACTATTATCCAGGAAAATCAGTAAACCATTCCCAACAACTTTCTACATAAACCTGTCTGCCTCTCTCCATAGCCACCATAAATCTAACAATGGCACTGTAAGAATAGGCTGTGTGAGCCCATTTCTCAGTTAACTAATAAGCATGCAATCATCAACCTACCTGTGCAATTTAAAGGTATTGGGGCCATAACGGTGGGTTGTGTCTTTATCCAAATCCTTTGGCAAGTTGATGATCTGGATTGCTTCAAATGGGCATTTCTGTATCAACAGATATATTAATAGTCTGTTTTTCACAAAGCCATAAAGCAACCAGGAGAAGAAACAGCAAAATAGTTGCCAATTTGAATTTACCAACCTTAACACAAATACCACATCCAATGCACAGCTCCTCAGAGATGAAAGCTATCTTAGAAGCAGGAGTGACCTCAATACACAATTTCCCTGTGGACAAATTGCATAAAAGGGTTAGAACACAGATAATCGGATAACTAATAGCAACGGCTATTACTAAGACAATCCACTACAAAAGAAGGGTCAGGAGAAGTCTATTCTTTGAGAATAACAGGTGCAGACAATATTGATGTGAAAGTAACATCACCTTATAACAAAAGGGGTAAAGTAATTTCAACAGACAGTTAAGTACAATAGAATTCTTAGAATGGTTGGTGCCTGAGGTGAGGCCATACATCTTGCATTGGCAAAGAATTCCCCATGTTGTTACACCATCTATACTCCTACTAATTAATTAGAAATATATGCTTATATTATTAAATGCTCTTTGAGCCCAATATACCGGCGCTTGTTACAACTCTAACTCAAATTATTCTCATTCCCAGATTCTCCTCCACTTTAGAAATAACTTTTTATGATAACTTATGATGAATGTAATAGCCCACACCTTGTTAGCTAAAGCTCAGTAGCCATGTAAGATTGTCAGTATAAAAATTAAGAATGTTGCAATATAACATTCTGGTAGTAATATACTTATCTGACCAAACAATCAAGCTACCCAAACAAGGATTGAATCAAGTTCAAAGCATTGAAGCATTCTATAGGGAAAATTTATATACAACATGGTTCAAAAAGCATAACAAGCAATTGAAGGCCAGAACTAGTAATTATACAGAACATTGTTTTACACAGTACAAAAATTACTATAGTGGCAAGAGCTGGACTATTTTTTTATTATTATTTGAAAATTAAAGGGCAGGAAATCAAGAAACATTATATTCATTAAACCTAAAAATAAAAGTATAGCTATATCAAACAGATCATGGATATTAAATTTTAACATGCAACAAAAAGGTAATAAATTAAAATAACAAAAATACATTACCAGTTTTGACAACAGGACAGCTCTTTTTGCATTCTTGACGGCACTTCTTAGGCTTGCATCTATCAGAACTAACAATTGCAATTCGGGTCAACCTATCTGCCATCTTTCCTCCCCTTTCTTTCTATACTGTCCAAAAGTACACACATACAAAACACAAAGCCATTTACATTAAAATATTAGATGAAAATTATGGCACTAAAAAATTTGAATTTTCAGGTTAATCATTATTATTAGCAGAAGTCAAATGAGCAGAGCTACTTTCACCCAACCTACTAAGCAAAATTTGAAAAAAAAATGGCACAGGAGGCTTTCAGGATATCAGATGAGATCATAACCAGAAAAATCCCAAACCCGTTTAAATTTCACTTGCATAACATAAACCCAATGACCCTAACCCATTCAAATTCCCGCTCAACACAAAAATGAACAAAAACATACCCAGCAAAAATCAAACACTTCAAACTTAGAAAAATTCAACAAGTATTAATGTCATGGACTCAATGATCAACTGGAGCCCTTCAAAATTATCATAAAGAATTCGTAGGCTTTTGTCACCATCAGGATTGGATATAGTTAAAGAAAAAAAAAAAAATTAATGTACGATCTTCACATATCTAAAACTAATTCAAAAGGGAAAAGAAAATTGAGAGAACCGAGTATAATGCTAATTCTACAATTCATTAGGCCTTAACTTGCAAAACCGTAAAACTGGTGTCCCCGAGCCAGATTGAAAAAACCAGTGAGCATATAGAAGGAAAAGAATTGGAACCTCTCTCATTTTCGCAATGAATTCACAATTTCTAAAAAAAATGCCAAAAATAACTTAAATCACATAGGAAGAGAGAAAAAGGATACTGCTGGTCAACAGTAATAGTGAGGCAAGAGGAAAAATGAACTTAGATCTTGGAATCAAGTCGTCAGATTGCATGAGCCATAGAGCTCATTATAGAATGGAGATGGCTGCTTGATTCAATCAAGAAAATTTTGAGCTAGGGGTGTGCAATCAGTTGATCAAACCGAAAACTGGGATTTCACTTTCTATGTAAACCTAATGGCATTTTACTTGGTAGAACTACAGTTCAGTTAATCAGTTACCGAACTTTAGCAATTAGAGATTAGCAGTTTAAATGATAAAGAAAAGGTAGAAAAGAAAAACTGAATATATAATTTGCTCAAGAATAATTACATAACGTTATACAAAATGAATATATACAATAGGGTAACCCACGAAAATAATTGCTCAATGATACAAACTGAATATATACAATCCACTAACCCAGAAAAATTCATGAAATTTGCTTGATAATAAATAAAAGTCAGACAAGAGAAACTGAATCTTACTTATGCAAACTGAAGTTCTACAAATTTCATGTCATATTTTATCAAATGTCATAATGCAGAGAAAATTTAACACATATAATCAAAGAAACAAGGGATACATGCATATTGGGTAATGAATTGAATTCCACATATAATCATATAACCATATGTGCGTATAAAATATTATATAATAATAGTTTCAGATCTGTATATGTTATTTGAGCCTCCTTTATTACTATACCCGAGTAAATTCAGTATCCACAAAAGAAAAAATCTTAATTCGTTTACACATGGCAAGTAAAACTGTTACAACTTATCGCCAAGTTTCACAATCGATTAACAAGAAAGGATACCAATTTTAGATTTTTAATTTGAAGGGGATTTCATACAATCAAGAAGCTTAAACTGCCATCCCAGATAAATTGAAGATTTATCATAAACTCGTGATAAAAGCAATGATCGGGAAGTACAATCAAGTAGTAGAAGTTAAAACTCACCTGAGAAAGAAAATACTAGAGCGAATCGATGGGCGAAGCAAGGAGGACCAGAAATGCTTGTCGCGTTAGCGTTAATCGCAAGCTGAGATGAGAGACTGGGAGCGAGAAGGGAACAGATGAGAGAAGCCGCACTGAAGCTTGGAGGAAGAAAGCAAATGAAATAAAAAAATTGAATGCAGAAAAGCCCTAGCAGAAAAGCAAAGAGTAAAAACGACATAGTTTTAAAATTTTGGTGTTCTTTTTTTTTTTTTTTTTTTTTTTTGCCAAAAGCCCTAGCAGAAAAACAAAGAGTAAAAACGACTAGTTTTAAAATTTTGGTTGTTCTTTTTTTTTTTTTTTTTTTTTTTTTTTGAGGATTAAAATTTTGGTTTTGGTTTAGTTAAACCAACTGTTTTTCCTGAAAATGAATCAAATCAAAATAGCTGAAAGTATTAATTGTGGGCTAAACCATTCTTGATGCGTCAAACTTTGAGGCTTATAATAATTACACCTCAAAATTAGGGCTATGGAAAATATGAACCGATCCGACCGAAAATATAGGATTATAATCAGTTTTTTGGGTCGAGTCGGGTTAGGTAATTTGACAGATATATGTCTCTTATTTGAGTCGGGTGGATCGGTTAAATACCATGTTTCACCCGACCCGAAAAAGTAAAAATATTAAATTTTTTTTATTTCTTCATATGACTCACTCTCTTTTCTTTCTTCTTTTGTTTGTAAAATTAAAAATGTCAAATCATGATTAATTTTTTCTTGAAGATGACATATATTTTTTCCTGAGCAACTAAAAATATAATTTTTAAGTTTTCATGTTTTTTATTTCTGTTAAGTATGTTAAATATTTAATTAGAATTTTTAAATTTGATATGGTTTGGTTATGATTTGAAGGTGGAAAATTAGATTTGTATGATTCTAATTATTATGGTTTGATTGTGTTAAAGATTTTTTTCATTATGAATGTTTATGTTGATTATGGTTTGATTATTATTTTATGATTTTTTTTATTATGGTTGTTTGAGCAACAATTATTTGCTAGATAATTTTTTTAATTGCATCGAATCCAAATAAAAAGTTTGATTGTACATGAGTCATATCTATCTATATAAATATATAAAAGCTCAACTTTTAAAGTTTACGTGGCACAATTTTAGAACATTAGGTTGCTAACACGACACAATACTACAATTGCTAAGTTGAAAATTGATTTTTTTTTTTTTATTTTAAGAAAATTATTATTTTAATAGAATTTATAGAGAACTTGAATTAATATCATTAAAATTTTTGAAAACCTTTTTACTTTCTTTTTTTTTTAATAATTCGCAGTTTTTTATAATATTTATGTCCATAAATATATCATTAATGTTTCTCCATTTTTTTACCCTTATGGAATTTGTGTAGATTGATATTTTTCAGTTTTTAAATAAATAATAAAATTAAAAATATTATTAATATTTTGAAAACCTTTCAATCTCTTTTTTTAATAATTAACAATTTTAATAATTAACAATATAATTAATATCTACAAATATAAATAAATATTTATTCTCCTTTTTTTACTCTTATAAAATTTGTATAGATTTTTTTTTTTTTTTGAATATAAGTATATAATTTCTGAAGCATAGAAGCTAACTTTGCATAATATTAGAGTGTTATTAATGTTGAATCGACATTATTTCTATTTTCATATTTTAATTGATTTTTTTTTAACATTTAAAATTTGCCACGAGTTATTTATTTTCTACTGCATATTAAAGCTATTTGAGTTGAGAAAATTAAAATATTTTTTGCATTATTAAATATATATTAGATAACTTTATGCATTTTAATTTTTTTTTTCTTTTTGCATTTAAGATTTACTACAAGTTATTTATTTTTTAATGTATTTTCACTACCATTTGAGTTGAAAAATTTTTTAAATTATTTACTTGTTGCATTATTAAGCACATGCACATTATACTAGTTAAGAAGTTTCTATAATTTTTACTTTTCAGTATTAAGCAGTTATGAAATTCTCATATATTTGATTATTACATCGTTAAAAACTATTTGCGGTATTGTGGATTATTTGCCTTAAGGGTAGATATTAATAGGTTTTTAGATAAAATGTCAAGCTATACATAAGAGTTTTTTTTTTAAAAAAAATTGTATTAAGCTTGCAAGAAGCATTTTGGGTATAGAAAATATCTTTATATATAAAAGTTAGTTCAAGTTCAATTTTTACATGTTTTCAATTATTTAATATTTATAAATTATCTAAAATTCTACAAGTTTGGTTAATTTCACATCATAAAATAGAAATTTTAACAGCAACAATAACAATAATCTTTCACAAATTATATTATACTGATCCAAATTAAAAAAGTATTATCCATACTTTAAATTTCAAATTTAAGATTTTTATAATTTTAACTATTAAATTATTTCGTTTTAGTAGCATAATTTTATAATAAGTGATTATGTCACGACCCGTTTCCGTGCGCCGGACCGGCACTAGGGCTCAAGTAAGCTTAAGGCCCCCGAAGTCCGTAGTAAGTCCAAATTATGCAATCTATCTATATAGCTCTCCCAATTTCTTAAGAGCAACGAGCCCATATGAGTTACGATATAAGTTTATAGAAATTTTCAACCATTTGGCCCAATCTCAAGGATACATAAAATTTAACAAGGGTCTATTCACGAAAAATCATATCCACAATATGGGCTTACAGGTTCATCTGTAGTTAATTACACACTAATTAATTTATAGCATGGTGCAAACGGAAAGGCCTAATTTAAATACACAACCCTATAACTGCGGAGTTCAACAATAATTTGATAATAGAATAATTTATACATCCAAAATTAAATATCAGAAATTTAAAGTTTACATTTATAACTCTGCGGTGAAGATTGCAGAGCTTCAGTCGAATCAGCTGCTTCCTAGTACCTGAGAGGTTTGTTGGGGGGAGGGGGGTGAGTTTTGCAACTCAGTGAATAATAATAAATACCTGAGAGGTGTTTGTTGGGGGGAAGGCGCGGGTGAGTTTTTGCAACTCAGTGAATAATAAACTAAATAATACACAACCCACATACAATCAACGCAAAACTGCATTCTAGTCATACTGGAATGAACACGCAACAGTCATCATTGCCCATCATATCAACGCACCCACAAACAAATATCACACTTCAAATAATCACACAATCACCGTGGAAATTAGTTAGTCCGGACGTCAAAACCGAAACCCCGACGAGCCAGTACTCTCACACGGCCATCCTTCTCAGATTATCAGTTTTCAAGGATCCAAATGTCCACCAATAAATAGTCTATCAGTATTACGGATCCATATCACAGTAGAACATTAATATCGGTATTTACGGACTCATATCAAGTTAAAAACAGTATATCATGTCGCGACTCCAAACAGTATATCAGTCGGATCCATATCACAGTAAACAGTATATCAGTCGGATCCATATCACAGTAAACAGTATATCAGTCGAATCCATATCACAGTAAACAGTATATCAGTCGAATCCATATCACAGTATTGGTCTCACAAACCCGTGGTGACCCACTTCATCCCAATTCCACACAAATAAAGCACAGTATAGTCATAACACAATTAATCAAACAATTCATTCAAATATGCAATTATAAAATATATTTATACGGTACCAGTGACATAATATATGTATAAAATGCACAATATAAGGTATATGTAAATGCTATGCAAATGCAATGCTGATATGCATTATTTATTATTACTCACAGTGGTGGAGAACGAATATCTAGCTTTGATTCTGTCCGGGAGGAGCACTAGACGGACCCGGGCGATCTAAGAAATTTAAACATGACATCAAAAAATAATTATATCAGACAATATTTATTTATCACTCTAATAATCTGATTCTATATTTTTAATTTCAATGAATAATTTAATCTCTATAATTAATTTTATTTTTTACCGAAATTTCGACAGCTCTTCCCCTAAAATTTTAACTATCCACCAATTAACTCATTCAATTATATTTTCGGGTTCTCACACAGCCCATCCATCAGCGATCAATCCTGTCAATTATTCCCATCCTCCATATTCTCCATGTCAACATTAATTTATAAATTTTTCTTTAATTCCATAAATCATAATCTCTTAATAATTTATTTAATACTGAAATTAATTCTCATTAATCAATAATTCAATACCTAATTTTTAATTTAAATTAGTTAACCCAAAATTACTAAAATAAATTCTGAGAATTAGCTTTAATTTAAATTAGTTAACCCAAAATTACTAAAATAAATTCTGAGAATTAGCAAAAATTGATTTATACCCCAAATATAATGTTTCTTGTCGGATTTTGCTAGATCGGGATTTATGCATGCCGGATCGCGCACTGAGACTGCAAGCAGGTGGCCGGAGTTATGCTGGAGTCGCTGGATCACCTGAGATCGACGCAGGAGGGGCTGAGCTACAGCAGTGACCCAAGTGGTGGAACTGGCGGCTGCGCGACAAGGCTGCAAGGCGTCGGTGGTGGCACGCGCTTGCTCCATCGAAGGCAGGAGAGTGGGTCTGTGCTTGCCGCACGATCTGATCCAGGGAGCTGGTGGAGTCGCGGCGATGTGGAGCGGCTGGATGTGGCGCCCAGAGGAGTCCGATCGAGCTGGAGGTGTCGCGCGACGCTGCTGCTGCTCTGTCTCGCCAAGAACGCAGACGCTGTGAAGAGCAAAGAAGAGGAAAGAAAGAAGAGAAGAGGAAGAAGAAAGAAGAACGGAGTAGGAGGAGGAGGAGGCGGTGGCAGTGTCGGTGGACTGACTGAAGGCACAGAGAATGGATGAGGGGTGAGGTGAGTGAGCGTGGAGATAAAAGAAAGGAGAGGTTTCAAGATGGTTTGGGCTGATTCGTTTCGATTTTGGTTTGATTCAGCCCAAATCTTGGTTTTTGTTTGATTTTTCGATTTTTCATAGGTTTTTGATTCGGTTTATCACCGTACAAATTACTAATTTGCATTTAAATATTTAGATACATTTTCCACACTGTCAGTTTATTAAATTTAAATGGAAAATCTTTGAAAATAAAAATTCGGGGGGTTATTTCAGATTAATAATGGGGAAATATTATTTATTAATGAAATTTATATTATGACAGCTTAATCGCAACGTGTACGAATCGCTACA